ACAGTCCTTTTTGGTGCCCAACGTGGGGCTTGAAGGGTTGAGATAACAATAGAATTGATTAAACGCATACAACTAACACGCTTGCTAGTCACCATGTTCAGTGTCCTGTTAATAATGGCTTGTTTGATCGTATGTCATGCAATGCGTGTCATGGTCTCCTTTCTCCTATATATCTGATCTGACAAAGTGCTACAATCTGTGTTCGTTTTTTTGAATTCACTGTGCTGCCAAGCACTGGCTTTGAGTTTAATCTGGCATTCAGGCTCTGCACTGTTCTTGTTTGGGTCTCATGGAAACTATCTTTTAGAGAATATTCAGAACTACACTGCCTTCCTTTCCTCATCTGGACACCAGTTTATGAATAATATTAGGAAGGGTACCTCCTCCTTCTTTCACAGTGGGCTAATTACAACAGTTTGGGAGTATTTTGAACATCCATGTGTAACCCATATATTGCTATTTCTAATTCTGAATAACGGGTTTCCTTTTCTCTCTAAGATTAGTCGATTGTTTAGAAAACTTACTTGGGAATCTGTCTCGAAACAGTCTTGTGGTGATTGGCAAGGTGTGTGGGATGATGTTAGCAGATACCTGTCACGAGTGTCTCCTCCAATAGTTTTGAACTTCACCCCTGAGCAAGTGCTAAATCCTAAAAACCTGGTAGAACGTTTGAGAGTTGTATGTCCTGACCCTGATAATGCCGGAGAACGACAGCTTGCAGCATTGTGCTGGGTCCTGGCTTATTCCTATCAAACACTGTTTAACATCATCCAGCACCTTGAAGAGAGGGAGGAAGTTTCTGAGTCTGATGACCAGATAACACATGCTGTGGCTGACCCAGAGGACCAACCGACTATGGTATCAGTTGCCCCCATAGTCAAGTCGAAACAACGGAAACAGAAGTCAGCTCGTTTAGTAAGGGAAGAAGCCTCTCCTAAGAAGGAGGGAGAAGGGGAAAAGGCAGGCACCTCTAAAGCAGAGCGATCACAAAAACAGCAGGAAGAAGAGATGGAAATCATAAAGGAATCAGAAACCACTCGATCCTTATCCCTGAGTGAGATGCGAGAAATACGAAAGGATTATGGTCGATGCCCAGGTGAACACATCTTCACCTGGCTGCTTCGATGCTGGGATGCTGGGGCCAATAGCCAACAATTAGAAGGCAATGAAGCCAAGCAGCTGGGATCCCTCTCTAGAGAAAGGGCGATAGACAGAGTAATTGGGAGAGAGGCAAAGGTTCTCAGCCTCTGGAGGTAACTCCTGGCAGTTGTGAAAGAAAGGTATCCCCATAAGGAAGATATTGTATATCAGTTACGCAAGTGGACCACCACGGAGAAAGTTCTCCAGCACCTGCGGGAATTAGCTGTGCGGGAGATGATTTATAGTGATTTGAACCATGAACAGACACCTCAAGACCCCGATGAAGTCCAGTGCACAACATCCATGTGGCATAAATTTGTGCAGAGTGCACCATTAGCACATGCCAGTACACTGACAGTAACTAATTGGGATGAGGGGATGGGACCAACAATGTATGATGTATCCTGCCAGCTTCAAAAATATGAAGACAATCTCTCTGCTATGCTACGGGCCTGTGTCTCAGCTGTGGAGAAACTGTCTGAAAGACTTGACTACCTCGTAGAACGAGCATATTCCCCATATTCCCCCTCTTCTAGACGGAGTGATACTTCAGCCACTAAGAATCAGCATTTCCCTGCTCAAGAGAGAGAGTACCCAAGACGCACACCACGTGGCACCTTGTGGTTTTATCTGCATGACCACGGGGAAGATATGAGGAAATGGGATGGTGTACCTACTTCAACCCTAGCTGCTCGGGTACGTGAACTGAAAGGAAATACAGTAGCAAGAAGAGGGGCTCCTAAGAGAAATGCTGCTCCAGTTTCTATTGGACAGAACCCCAGAGGCAGTAGAAGAGCTGATGTTATTCTTGACCCTGATGAAGGGACCTCTGCTTCTCATTTGCAAGAACTAAGTGGCAGACACTCCAGCCAGGACTAGAGGGGCCCTGCATCTGGCCAGGTAGAGGAGAGGGATAACCGGATTTATTGGACTGTGTGGATCCAATGGCCTGGCACATCGGAAGCACAGGAATACAAAGCTTTAGTGGACACTGGCGCACAATGTACCTTAATGCCATCAGACTACCAAGGGACAGAACTCATCTGTATCTCTGGAGTGACAGTGGGATCCCAACAATTAACTGTACAGGAAGCTGAAGTGAGTCTAACTGGGAATGAGTGGCAAAAGCATCCTAATGTGACTGACCCAGAGGCTCCGTGCATCCTTGGCATAGACTACCTCAAGAGAGGGTACTTCAAGGATCCAAAAGGGTACCGGTGGGCTTTTGGCATAGCTGCTTTGAGCACAGAGAAGATTAGGCAGCTGTCTACCCTGCCGGGCCTTTCAGAAGACCCTTCCGTTGTAGGATTGCTGAAGCTTGAAGAACAACAGGTACCAATTGCTACCACAATGGTGCACCGACGGCAATATCGCACCAACCAAGACTCCCTGATTCCCACCCACGAGTTGGTTCACCAGCTGGAGAGTTGAGGAGTGATCAGCAAGACTCGCTCACCCTTTAATAGTCTTATATGGCCAGTGCGAAAGTCTAATGGCCAGTGGAGGGTAATGGTGGACTATCGGGGCCTGAATGAAGTCACATCACCACTGAGTGCTGCAGTGCCGGACATGCTAGAACTTCAGTACGAACTAGAGTCAAAGGCAGCCAAGTGGTACGCCACAATTGATATTGCTAATGCATTTTTCTCCATCCCTTTGGCAGCAGCATGCAGGCCGCAGTTTGCTTTCACTTGGAGGGGCATCCAATACACCTGGAATTGGCTGCCCCAGGGGTGGAAACACAGCCCTACCATTTGCCATGGACTGATCCAGTCTGCACTGGAGCAAGGGGGAGCTCCTGAGCACCTGCAGTACATTGATGACATCCTCGTGTGGGGCAACGCAGCAGAAGAAGTTTTTGAGAAAGGGAAGAAAATAATTCAAATTCTCCTGAAAGCTGGTTTTGCCATTAAACAGAGTAAGGTCGAGGGGCCTGCACAGGAAATCCAGTTCTTGGGGGTAAAATGGCAGGATGGGCGTCGCCATATTCTGATGGATGTGATCAATAAAATAACAGTAATGTCTCCGCCAACTAGCAACAAAGAAACGTAAGCTTTCCTAGGCCTCGTGGGATTCTGGAGAATGCATGTTCCAGGCTAGAGTCAGCTTGTGTGTCCTCTATATTGAGTGACTCGAAAGAGAAACTATTTCGAGTGGGGCCCTGAGCAACAACAGGCCTTTGAAAAAATCAAACAAGAAATAGCTCGTGCAGTAGCCCTTGGGCCTGTCCGTACCGGACCAGCTGTGCAAAACATGCTTTACACTGCAGCTGGGGAGCATGGCCTCACCTGGAGCCTCTGGCAGAAAACTCCAGAAGAAACTCGAGGTCGACCTCTGGGTTTCTGGAGCCAGGGCTACCAAGGACCAGAAACCAAAGCTAATTACATCCCCCCACTGCAAATATAGTGGCAGAGTAACTCAGTACTATGACTAACACATTACTATTGTATACTATTGTATTACTATATTACAGAACTATGACTAACACATTACTGTTGATGTTATTTGTTTCTAAAATATGTTCCTTTTAATTATATTCTCCACAGGTATCCCCTCTGTTCAATATCTTGACTGTGCCAATGTTATTGTTTTCAAATAAATTTAAGCTTGATCAAACTTACTGCACCCTCAGTAAGTTTGCAGATGACACCAAGTTAGGTGCGTGTGTCGATCTGCTCGAGGGTAGGAAGGCTCTGCAGGAGGATCTGGATAGGCTGCACCGATGGGCTGAGGCCAACTGTATGAAGTTCAACAAGGCCAAGTGCCGGGTCCTGCACCTGGGGTACAGCAACCCCAAGCAGAGCTACAAGCTGGGAGATGAGTGGTTGGAAAGCTGCCATGCAGAGAAGGACCTGGGAGTATTGGTTGATAGTCGGCTGAATATGAGCCAGCAGTGTGCTCAGGTGGCCAAGAAGGCCAACAGCATCCTGGCTTGTATAAGAAGCAGCGTGGCCAGCAGGTCTAGGGAAGTGATTGTCCCCCTGTACTCGGCTCTGGTGAGGCCACACCTGGAGTACTGTGTTCAGTTTTGGGCCCCTCGCTACAAGAAGGACATGGAGGTACTCGAGCGAGTCCAGAGAAGGGCGATGAAGCTGGTGAAGGGGTCTGGAGAACAAGTCTTATGAGGAGCGGCTGAGGGAGCTGGGTTTGTTCAGCCTGGAGAAGAGGAGGCTTAGGGGCAACCTTATTGCTCTCTACAGATACCTTAAAGGAGGCTGTAGTGAGGTGGGTGTTGGTCTATTTTCCCACGTGCCTGGTGATAGGACGAGGGAGAATGGGCTAAAGTTGTGCCAGGGGTGTTTTAGGTTGGATATTAGGAAGAACTTCTTTACTGAGACAATTGTGAGGCATTGGAATGGGCTTCCCAGGGAAGTGGTGGAGTCACCATCCCTGGAGGTCTTTAAAAGACGTTTAGATGTAGAGCTTAGTGATATGGTTTATTGGAGGACTTGTTAGTGTTAGGTCAGAGGTTGGACTCGATGATCTTGAGGTCTCTTCCAACCTAGACAATTCTGTGATTCTGTGATATGATTTTTAGTTTTGTGTGTACATGGAACTTCTAGAGCACTTTCCAAGTGTTTACACGTATGTCTGCGTATACAGGAGATAACAGCTAGGTATCTTGTATTTTTTAGATGATAGAACAGTAAGGAAAATATGATTGTCTTCTGTAGAGCTAAAAAGGAAGTTAGTAGAATACCTGTTCTATATAGTACTTTAGATAATATAAAACCCTGAAGTTTATTAAGGATTAATTTCCCTCTACTAAATATATGTTTGCTACTGAATAGCTAGTGAAGTCAAGAAAAGGAGAAAAACAGAACACCAAAAACCTTTATTTCTTTTGCTTGCTTTAACAGTTATTACTCAACCAAGTCCATCGGTTTCCCAGAGTAGTAATTCACAGAGTGAAGAGAGAGCTTCTGAACTTCCCAAACCAAAGAAGAACAGATGTTTCATGTGCAGAAAGAAGGTTGGTCTTACAGGTATGAGAGCACTTTGTCAATGTTGAACAGAGCTATATGATTAGTTGCCTCTTACTAGATTGTTTGTTGAAATATCTTCAGACGTTAAACTTGCTTGCTGCTTCAAAATCCATAACGTTAGACTACTTAATAGAGCTGATAATTTGGAAATACTCATTTTGCTTACTCTTAGATGCGTGTATCCCCCTTTGCATTAACTAAGCCCTTAATTTACAGCTTGCTTAAAATCTGAAGCTTCCTAGTGATTTTTTTTTTCTTTTCCTTTTCTTTGTACAGGATTTGACTGCCGATGTGGAAACTTATTTTGTGGACTTCACCGTTATTCTGACAAGCATAACTGCCCATATGATTACAAAGCAGAAGCTGCAGCAAAAATCAGGAAAGAGAACCCAGTTGTGGTGGCTGAAAAAATCCAGAGAATATAAACTAACCTATTTATGAAAAGACTGTTTAATGTTTTCCTAGGATATATTAAAATTAAAGAGCAGATGCATGGCCATTTTCCTTTGTTCTACTAACTCTTACTTTTAGTCTTGTCTGTCTTAATAATATTTCAGAATATTTAGGTGTTTGTTACAGGGAGAATTGGATAGATAAAGCCCTTGGAAATATTTATGCCCTCCTCAGAGTATAATTGGATGATCAGAATTGGCACAGAAATAGACATGCACAGAGGATATGTGCCAAACAGATGTCTACTATGTGCATGCTTGCAGCAGATCTGCCTTTTAAGATGTTTGAGGTGTATAGCACTAGCCAAAGGTTATGTGCCTGTTTGAGAGAAGGGTTAGAAAGGTTGGCAGTCTACTTCTATCACTGAAGATCATAGAAACACAAGGTTGGAAAGGACCTACAAGATCATCTACTCCAACTGTCCTCCTATCACCAATACTACCCACTAAGCTACTAAATCATATCTCTTAGCACCTCATCCAGGTGCTTCTTGAACACTGTGAGGGACAGTGACTCCACCACCTCCCTGGGCAGGCTGTTCCAGTGCCTGACCACTCTGAGAGAAAGTTTTTCCTGATATCTAATCTAAATCTTCCCTGGCACAACTTGTGGCCATTTCTTCAAGTCCTATCATTAGTTATCTGGGAGAAGAGGCTGACCCCCTCCTCATCACAACCTCCCTTCAGGAAGTTGTAGAGTGCAATGAGGTCTCCCCTGGGTCTCTTTGCCAGACTAAACAATCCCAGCTTCCTCAGCCGCTCCTCATAAGACTTGTGCTCCAGACCCCTCACCAGTTTTCTTGCCTTTCTCTGGACATGTTCTAGGGCCTCAATGTCCTTTTTGTAGTGAGGGGCCCAAAACTGAACACTACTTGAGGTGCAGCCTCACCAGAGTTGAGTACAGGGGGATGATCACCTGCCTGCTCCTGCTGGCTATGCTATTTCTAATACAGGCCAGGATGCCATTGGCCTTCTTTTGGCCATCTGGGCACACTGCCGGCTCACGTTCAGCCGAGCATCGATCAAAACTCCAAGGTCCTTTTCCACTGCACAGCTTTCAAGCCACTCTGCCCTAAGCCTGTAGCATTGCATGGGGTTATTGTGGTCAAAGTGCAGGACCTGGCACTTGGCCTTGTTGAACTTCAGCCCAGCAATCCAGCCTATCCAGATCCCTCTGAAGGGCCACCCTACCCTCAGGCAGATTGACACTACCTCTCAACTTGGTGTCATCTGCAAGCTTACTGAGGGTGCACTCAATCCCCTCATCTAGGTCATCAATAAAGATATTAAACAACATAGGCCCCAGTACCGCCCCCTGGGGGAAACCACTTGTAATGGGATGCCAGCTGGACTTAACTCCATTAACCGCTATGTGCTGGGCACGGCCCTCCAGCCAGTTCTTTACCCAGAGAAGAGTATACCTCTCCAGGCCACGGGCAGCCAGTTTCACCAGGAGAATACTGTGGGAGATGGTGTCAAAGGCCTTGCTGAAGTCTAGATAGACTACATCAACAGCCTTTCCCTCATCTACCAGTCTGGTCACATGATCATAAAAGGAGATGAGGTTGGACAAGCATGACCTGCCTTTCGTGAACCTGTGCTGGTTGGGCCTGATCCCCTTGATGCCACACGTGCCATGTGATCTCACCCAAGATGATTTGCTCCATAATTTTCTCTGGAACCAAGGTCAGACCAACAGGCCTGTAGTTCCCCAGACCTTCTTTACGGCCCTTCTTGTGGATGGGAGTCACATCGGAAATCCTCTAATCCTCTGGGACCTCTCCAGATAACCAGGAATGCTGAGATGGCAGAAAGCGGCTTGGCAATCACCTCTGCCAGATCTCTCAGCATCCTAGGGTGGAGCCTGTCTGGTCCCATGGACTTGTGACATTCTAGATGGAGGAGCAGGTCTCTGTCTCTTCCTGAATCACAGGGGACTTCCAGGTCAGAGTATAAAGTACCCTGAGGATAACCAATCCGACTATTAAAGACAAATGTAAAGAAGGCGTTGAGAACCTCAGCCTTTTCCTTATCCTCGGTGATCATATTCCCTGATGCATCAAGGATGGAAATTCTCCTTGGTTCTTCTCTTACTGTTAATATATTTGTAAAAGGATTTCTTGTTCTCTTTTACTGCAGTGGCCAATTTGAGTTCAAGCTGGGCTTTTGCCTTTCTAAATTCCTCCCTGCATATCTTAGCAACTTCTTTGTAATCTCCCCAAGTAGCCTGTCCCTTCTTCCAGAGGATATAGACTCTCTTTTTCTTCCGGAGTCTCAACAAAAGTTCCTGGTTCATCCACACTGGTCTTCTTCCCCTCTGGCTCACCTTACAGGACTCAGGAACAGCCTGTTCCTATGCCTTTAAGATTTCCATCTTGAGGAGTGTCCAGGCTTCCTGGACCCCTTTGCCCTGAAGTAGTGACTCCCAAGGGACCCCTGCAACAAGTGTCCTGAACAGGTCAAAGTCCACCCTCCGGAAGTTCAAGATAGCAGTTTTGCTAGTTACCCTTCTGACATCACCAAGAATAGAGAACTCTACAATTTCATGGTCACTCTGCCCAAGACAGTCCCCAACTTTCATATCTCCCACCAGTCCTTCTCTGTTAGTGAAGAGCAGGTCTAGCGGGGCACCTCCCCGGTAGGCTCTTGTACCAGCTGTGTCAGGAAGCTATCTTCCACATACTCTAGAAACCTCCTGGACTGCTTCCTCTGCTAAGGAAAAGATCTCATTCTAATTTTAATTTCCATACTCCGTTATTTTCCAGCAGAACGTAAGCCATGTGGGTCTGTCTGCCTTTCAAGTAAGATGAGTGTTGGTGCTGTATTTAAGAAAAAGTCATTTAACAATTAATGGGGAAAATGGAAAAAAATAGATATGTATGAGAAGAAAACCATTTTGGAACAGATTATGTTAACCTAATTTCAGGATTCTAAAGTTTCCAGAGGAAATGTCCTGTTAAAAACTTAAGAACTGGCCTGCAACAGTTCTCTGCTTTTCCTTTCAAGGCTAAAAATGTTGTGTAGCACAATATTGTAAAATTGGCTTACCAAAAAGAAAAGCTGTGTGTTTTTTAGACATACCATAACAGCTCTATCAAGTGACATATGCGTAAGTTGCAGAAGTATTTGAACAGTTTATTATTCATGAATTACTTAAATTCAATATGTTCTGGGTTAAAAAGAATATTAGGAGCTTTAAATATATATATATTATTAATGTAATAATTGCACATGCAACAATTGTTGGGTATAGAAAACCATATCCAACATGGCTGCTGTAGACTTAAGTGGGAGCTGGAACCACTCTTGGAGGGCTGCTTTATCATTTTAAATTATATTTGAGTGTAGGACTAATGTTCTTGGGTGTATTGCATGGGCTATATTATCTACAGCTCTGTACAATAACTAGAAAAGGCAGTATAGTGTATTGATGCTTGTCTGGTAATATCACTTCTGTGTTATAATGTGAGTTTTTTTGTGTTGTATGGAACTTGTGTTTTTTATAAACAAGTATAGTTTAGACTAGTGTTGTGGTAATATCTGTTCTCATCTGTAAATAGTTGTGTATGCACACAAAAATATACTTCTGACTTCTATTGCAGTGTTTACTCTTAGCTTTTAGTTCAATATTAAAAGCATCAGGCTCTTACTTTAACTTTGTTCTTCCAATTTAGTTATTAGATATGCAAACGTACAGATAACTCATGTTTATATATTGCACATAATCGTGCTACCCAGCATCTGTGATCTGTTGTATTATGTAAATAATAAAAATTATGTACAGAAGGAAATACTTCTTTTTGTGATAGTTCATTGGTTTTAGTTATTGTAACCTGAAAGTGGCCCTGTGGATATTAGGGTACAAAGCTAGTACTACTAGTACTAGGTTTGTATGTCTCTTTAAAACCTAAGAGTACATTGAAACTGGATATTTGAGGAAACTGTAATAAATGGCTCAGTCGTCAAAATAGGACTATAATCAAAGTTTACAATTTATTAAAGGAATAGAGGTAAGCAAACAGTGCTGGGTGCACCGGGAGTCTCTGCTCCACCAAGACGCACACCAGTTACATCAAGCAGCTGATTTTTATGCTCCTAGGCTAATACATATTCATTACTACTTCTAAAAAAACAGGGTTATTATAATTAGTTTCCGGAATCCAAACCCTCCTACTGGAGCATGCGTATCAGTCTCCAGTGGTCCCTCTGGGGGTCTCTCATGCTGAAGGCTCATAGTCTTCCTCCCCCTTGTCCTTCTCCTTTGTCCAACTTGGCTGTATGTCAGAGACTTGTGCAGCGTCCCCTGCAAGCTTTGTCTTTTAGTTGTTCTTCAGCTCTCCCCGTCTCCTTAATCTCCTGGCCAGATATCAGAGACTTGCATAGTGTCCCATGCAATAGTCATAATAGTTAGCAGTTATTCTGAACCTCCCCTAGATATCAGAGACTTCAAGGAAAAGCCTACAAATACATTTCCCTTCAAGCTCTCTATTGACATGAATTGCTAAAACATTCCTTTGCAAGACACAAGAACTATATACATTAACCACTCTGTTTTTCTTAGACTTGTGTTTATACAAGGGTATGTAAGACAGAAGGTCACATTCATCATACCATGCGGCCCTAGCATTGTTCCATATTGACACGAATTAGACGAATCACATTTCACAATCCCCCATCTCCTTTTTCATGGTATTGATTCGTGTTTTCCTTTCCAATCGAGTCAATACTTGCCAAATTGATACCAATTTTTGATCTTTGTTTGTTTTTATTATCATCAGGGAATGGGTTTTCTCTTTCCCTGGTTCTGGGTCAACAGGTACCGCAGATATTTCCATTCCTTGTATAACCGAGTGTATTAGTCTGGTAATACAGGGTATTAAACATGGAATTATTAACAATCCTCCACATATCCCCAATACAACCATCCTTCTTTTAGCAAACCAATCACCGCCTATAAAGCCCCCTCCCATAATCCTCTTAGATCGATTCCATTCCAAGTCTGAACTGGGACATGTGCAATTTTCTTCATTTCTTTTACAAGTT